CTCACTGTCTGAGTCAACCTGAAATGAATTGAATCTAATCAAACTGAATCAGGAAATGGGATAAATCGGGACCTTGTGAATCGAAATCAAATCAGTCATAGAAATCAGAGCTGATATGAGATATATCAGAGCCCTATGTGTCCACAGTGTGTGTGAGAGAGATGAGCTATTGCCATCGATGCGACATTTGAGTCCGTAGGCGAGCAACAAGCTGTTACTTTCATGGTAGTTTGATTTCTAGCAATCGGCAAAATAATACAAAATCCCACTGTCTTCACACAGGTGTGCTGCTGTATGGACCCCCAGGATGTGGTAAAACACTCATCGCCAAGGCAACAGCAAAAGAGGCGGGCTTTGCTTTCATCAACTTGAAGCCGAGCACGCTGACAGATAAATGGTACGGAGAGTCCCAGAAACTGACTGCTGCTGTGTTCTCACTGGCCTCCAAACTGGGCCCAACAATCATCTTCATCGACGAGATAGGTGAGAAAGACACACACACAGATGCGCGCACACACATACACACATACAGTTTATCTCTCTCTGATAAAGTGGAAATCATTTTGACAAATTAAGTTTAAAAAATAGTTGTTTTTTTTTGTTAAACTGTGTGCTTTGCTTACAATGCCCACTTCATGTCATGAATCGACTGTGTAGTGCAGGAACGAAAGGATCCAAATGCAGGCTCGTAAGCGGGATGTTAACTCAAAACAGCTTTATTATATACAGCTTTATTAGCTGAAACGAAAATAACCCATCCTTCAAATCCAGGGAAATGAAGGACGTATTTGTCGGCTGCATTTGGAGCGGCCTTTGAATTGGGACAGGCTTCATCGCTGGCTGTGAAGTAATCAGCCTTCAAATGCAGCCTCAGGAGGATGTGGCCTAGGTTTTGGGACACAGCTACAGGGACATAGGGCCTTCACAATAAAACAGGAAATAGAGGAACATGATGGAGAGGAGAGGCAGACGAGAGGGAGCGATGGGACACGAGCGAGAGGAGACATGACGGGAAACATAGAATGGAACACAAGTTGCTCCTAGAGACTCACACAACATATATAAAGACAGACAGAGATGGAGAGCGGCACAGAGGGCAAAGACAAATAAATAAATAATATATAATGAAGGAGCTAAACAGAAAAACCTTGGCAATATAGGAATTAACTCAAGACTAACTAAAGAAACTTAACCATAAAGTATAACACAAAATAACACGAAAATACAAAAACACAAAACACTGGTTCAAATGAGCCAGGACCATGACACTGTAGGATTATACAATTTAATTGGGAAGGGAAAGAAAACAAAATTCACTTGACTACAACCTGCTAACATTTAGTGGCGATATTTTCCATGTACTACCTTAAAATGTAGAATTTTCTTAAACATAAATTAAACATATAAAGAAACTGATTCTGCTTTCAGTGAATTTGGTCTGCACAAACGGTTCAAAGAGAGACGTGAATGTATTTTAATATTTGGTCTTAACTGTATACATTTTGACAAATACCATAGAAGCAAAAAAAGAGGCAAAACATTTTCAAACAATGAAATCCCAACTGAGATGATAAAACTGTGTGTTTGAACAGATTCCTTTCTGAGGAGTCGATCCAGCAGAGATCATGAAGTCACAGCTATGATGAAGGCTCAGTTTATGAGTTTGTGGGATGGACTCGAAACAGACCACCAGTGCCAGGTATGCACACGTCTGAAATGTTTAGGTTCAATATGGAGTCTCAAGAAATTCACTGAGCTGTGGACGTATTATGGAGAGGAATTTGTCTCAAAAGGGTTGCAAATGCATACAGGGTGATCCACAAGCATAAATTGATTCACAAATGTTTACAGGAATTTCTGTGTAACGTTTGAGGACTCACTTCCATAGGCCATAAAGCAAAACTGTAGTTTTTAGCCATTTTTGCTCCTAGTTCAGTTAAATTTGCATCAACTTTTTGCAGTTTCAGAATAAGATGTTTGCTTTCATGCCAACGGCGTGTACGAGTAAATGATTTGTGTTTTATGTTTACATCTTTTTAGAGAATCAATCCATTTACCTGCTCTTTAATCGTTTGCTCTTTTAACAGTTTGGAGGTTGTTAAAATAGTTTTGTGAGCTTTAAGCTGAGATTCTGCTAAAATACATTTATATTTAAAAATTGATTTTAGGATTTAATGAATCAGTATTGGATTATTCAAATTAAAATCAATTATCCATCCATCTATTTGCTTCCACTTATCTTTTTCAGGGTTGCGGGGGGCTTTGGAGCCTATCCCTGACTCCACACAGAAAGACCCTGACCTAAAATCGATTAGAATTGGGATTTCTTTTTTAAAACCACCCCTATTTGCAACCCTTTTGAACCCAATTTCTCTCCATAATCTATGCAATATATGTGAATCCTGAACATAAACGATCAGATGATCAATAAAATGTTCTTCGAAGATTCGGTCTGTATGTAAATCTGATTAAAAGTGTACTTTGTCAGGTGATCATTATGGGAGCCACCAATCGTCCTGAGGACATAGACCCTGCCATCTTGAGGAGGATGCCCACCAAGATCCACATCAAGCTGCCTGTATGTCCTTTTAAAATAAGTCTGACTGTTTTTTAAAAACAAACCAACAAACAAAAAGCATACTGAACGCAGCAGTGTACCCTCTGCATTGGTCGGTTTGCGTGCCGTGGCAACATCATCACACATTCATTTCTATTTATCCTGTTAAGGCACAGGGTGCTGATGTATTCTCCTGAATGGCAGGTGTCACTACTCAGATAATATCACCACATTAGAAGGAATGAAGCAGTGAAGACGTCAAACCTAAAGAAAAGCATCCCAAGAAGTCTTGTGTTTCTCTAACGATATATCATTAAAATGCAGCAAAAACTGACAAAGCTCTAACAGCCATGTCTTCATCTGCGGTGGTGGCCGTGAAACAATGTGCTAGGTTACAAAAACAGAGTGGTGCATGACCAGCTGAAGTGATACCGTAAAGGCGGCATGCACCAGCATATGAGACATAATCTATGGCGCACACCACCGTCAGACAGGGGTGTGTGGTGAGGATAAAACTAGTCTGACAGTGTGTTTGTTTCTGCAGAACATTGAGCAGCGCAAGCAGATACTCAGACTGATCCTGGAGAATGAGACGGTAAGTTCACAGCAAAAGGGAAAAAGTCATGTGACTGAGATATTAATCCTTATGATCTTACATTATTTTACCAACATGGTTCTTCTTCTGCTCTTTTAATGTAGTTAGTACATGAAGCCAAAGAAACATTAAATCCACAATAATAAAAATGAGTGAAGAAGAGGAAAGCTTTAGTGAAGGTTACAAATGATCTTCTTATGGCCTCTGACAGTGGACTCATGTCTGTGCTTGTCCTGCTAGACCTCAGTGCAGCGTTCGATACTGTTGACCATAATATCCTATTAGAGCGATTAGAACATGCTGTAGGTATTACAGGTACTGTATTGTATCATATCTATCTAATAGACTCCAGTTTGTGCATGTAAATGGAGAGTCCTCTTCACACACTGAGGTTAATTATGGAGTTCCACAGGGTTCAGTGCTAGGACCAATTCTGTTTACATTATACATGCTTCCCTTAGGCAGCATCATTAGAAGACATAGCATACATTTCACTGCTATGCAGATGACACCCAGCTCTATCTGTCCATGAAGCCAGATAACACACACCAATTAGTTAAACTGCAGGAATGTCTTAAAGACATAAAGACCTGGATGGGCTAAGGCAGAGCCTTCAGTTTTCAGGCCCTCTTCTGTGGAACCAGCTTCCAGTTTGGATTCAGGAGACAGACACTATCTCTACTTTCAAGATTAGGCTTCAAACTTTCCTTTTTGCTAAAGCATATAGTTAGGGCTGGACCAGGTGACCCTGAATCCTCCCTTAGTTATGCTGCAGTAGGTGTAGGCTGCTGGGGGGTTCCCATGATACATTGAGATTTTCTTCTTCTTCTTTTTCTCACTTAATATGAGAAAATAGGGGCGGGCCTAAAGTCAACACACCTGAATTAAATGAATTAGCTCATTACCAGGCCTCTGGAGAACTTCAAGACACTTTTCCACTCTTAACAGATCAGTTAAGAGTGGCATTAAAAAATCACGCTGACTAAAAGAGTTGTTCTCTCTTTCGTTTACTGAAGGTAACCATTTCTGACAATTTCAGTTCCTTTTGCAAATTATTCCAGGTGACAGAGGCGGCGTATTTCAAAGCCTAACTCCTAATTGTGTTTTGATTTGTGGGATAATCAACTGTATGATATTGTGAGAACAAGGGCTGCATTGTTATGATTTTTATGCATATAAACACATAAATAAGAGGGAGAGATTTATAGATAAAGACCAACCAATGGGAAAGTCTGCAAATATAAGAGAAGGACATGTAGCAGCAGCATATGTAGCCGCTAAGACTGGTGGACCTAAATCTTCACCACCACGTCTGGTATACATACAAGCGAAAAAGGGGAGTGGGTGGGTCAGCGCTCAGGGCACAGAAACTAAGCTGGCTTCAAACACCATTTATTTCCATAAAAAAAAAAAAACACAGCCAGAGTCACAAATACAAGATAAAATTCCCCGTATACAATAAAAATAGTGTTGCAACCCGCTAAAAACCCTGCCGGCAGAAATAACTATACACTATTAAAACAAGGCTAAAACATGTTTTCCATATACTAAAATTACTCTCCCATAGTCCCATAATCCCACAGTCCAGCCACACATGGGCGAATGGTCCTTATATGAAAGAGACAGGAGAGGAACTTCTCTTCCAGTATGGTAAAACTCGTCAGCAACAGACCAGGGAGGGGGCTCCTATCGCAGACCTGTCTCCTCCTGACAGCGCGTCGCCGCACAGTCCCGCCCCACTCCACACCTGAACACGGCCTCCCTCGTCTCACCGTCAGATGCAGGCAGAGGGGCATCCCTGCCCTGTCGTGCATTGCAGCCATCGCCACCCACTGTTGCCGTTCCTGCCGTTAGGACTGGATCGCCGAACAACTCGCGGCGCCCCACAGTCAGGCAGCAGTTCGTTCCACACACGTGCGGGGTTGCACGCGTTCCTTTTTCGCCTCCTCACCCTTCGCGCGTCACTCCTCTCTCCTTTTGTCTCTGCGCTCACCATCCCCTTTAACAGGTCAACCTGGCGGCTGATAGGCCACCTTGGGGAACGCCCCCACCTCACAGGTGCCTACAATTATCTGTTTAGTCCACAGTGGGTTAAAGGAACATGGTACAACATTAACACAAATATAAATATGAGGATAAAACCATGCAGTATAAATATCAATAAACAAACATGCAATATAAATATCACTATAAAATCATGCAAATAAAATCAACACTATGTACCAATACACAGATTGATAAAACATAAAAACACAAATTTCCGCTGTGTGACACATACACAGAACAATAATGTAGATGATTTCCATAACCCCTTTAGTTAGTGGGCTGGTGCATTCAGAAAAAGCAGCTCACCATAATCCAATAAAGGTAAAAAAGTTGCACGAATCAAGTGTTTCTCACCTGGAGGCACACACAGGATTGATTTCTAAACTTAGTTTTAGTTTTAACTTAGACACAAGCCTTTGAATGTAAGTTTTAAATGGCAAATTCGGATTTACAATGACACCTAGATTCATTGATAGACTGATTCTGCCTCTGTAGGTGGATCCACTGATTAACCTCAGCCACAAT